GGGGGCGGGGGCGGGGTGGGTATTAACATCCCCACCCCCGCCCTCGCCCTCGATTTTATCAATCGGGGAAAATCCGAACCCGATAAACACAGGTTTTTCCCATCCAAATCGGGACGGGTTCGAGCGGGTACCCACAGGGGCGAGTTAGATTGACATGCCTAGTTATCCATAACTAATTTTGAATATCATATTATTGAATTTTAAATTTCAATAAATGAAATTATATTTTAAACCCATACTATCCACTTTGATATCTTACGTAGAAATTCAGAGTTTGTTGATCTTGTGTCATAAAAGAAATTAAAAAAATAAATGAGTTGTTTACATGAAAATAAACTAAATTGTAATATATTAATCTTTCAAAAAGTACAGTACGTAATTTTTTTTAAAAGGGGAGCACAATCTAATTTTGGCATCTCCCCATGGAAAAAATATAATTTACTTTTTTTCATAAATAAATTAATTGGAAAATGGCATTTCATAATTTTCTTTTTATATTTTTTCCAAAAAGAAATGTTGAGGTTTTAGAATAAACATAATTTCATATTTAATATTTAACAACACAAAATTATGTTAATAATTTTTGTTACTTAGTATATTTCTTATATGGTATTCTAAAATAAGACTAGATACTAAAAAAAATCCTTCTAAATCTTGAGATTAAATTAAAAATCAGATCTAACAATTCAAATTTCTTTCTTTTAAAGTATGGACGAGTCATCACCCTAGTGTCAATAATAAACACAATGAGTACATTATTTTATATAATAGGAAAAATCCATTTATTTAAAGGAAGTTTAGGTAAATTTATTTTGTTCAATAACTTATATTTTGTATCAAATTTTAACGATTTAACTGTTGAATTTAAAGTTCTTAGGGAGGTTTGGTTTAGGATTCATAGGATTTTAAAAAACTTTTTTTAAGTAAAAAAGTCCATTGGTATTTAATCAAGATTTTATATCACTTAAAAATAATCCAATGGTATTCAATCTGAATTTTCAAGATTTTTTAAAGAGTTCATTAAAATTCATTGGTACTCATTCGAGACTTTTTACAACTTATAAATAATCTATTTGTATTAAAAAATACAAGAATTTTAAATGATTGTTGTATTAGAGGGATTTTTAAAGACTTTTTAGTAGTATCTATAAATACCAAATTCATAAAAACTATCCCATCCAAATCTATGAGATTTTGAAGCATTGTTTGAAGTGACTTTTCTAGTACTTTAACAATTTTCAAGTGAGTTTTTTTTTTCTATGCTCCTATCTTCTTCATTTTTTCCCTGCTAATAATATTATTGCACTATTGCTCATATATAATACTATACTACTGTTCATATTCTATTATCCTATTTGGTGAAACTCCAGAACGTAAATGACAGTGCCATTGACTTGCTCTAATTTTCTCTCTATTCTCTTTAATTGACTTGCTCTATTTTACTCTATTTAGTTGAATTGTTTTTCAAATATATAATACAAAAAATGCTTGAAATTTTAACTTTTAAGTAATAATTTTCTTGTAACAGGCGACAAAAAAAGGGAAAGGTAAAAGTTAAAATTGATATCATGTTCTCTATAATCAATTGTAGATCTCCAAAACCTTCTAATCAATTTAGATTTAAAGGTCCTTACCATAGTTAAATATCACATTTAACTATTGAGTTTGAGATATTTGTTTATACCATATAACATTTTTTTAATTTAATATATGGACCCTACATATATACATATACATCCACACACACACACACACACACACACACACATATATATATATATATATATATATATATATATGTTAAGACTTTACGGGGCTATAATATTGTTTTGGCTTAAATATGTTTTTAATCCGTCAAATTTAGGATAAATCTGTTTTTGGTCCCTTAAATTTATAATTGTTGTTTTTAGTCCCTGTAATTTCAAAAAAATTTATTTTAGTCCTTATATTCAAATTTTGTTAAGAAATTTATTAAATATTATTGCATAAAATCTACCTATTGATGTCCGTATTAGTGAAAATATCACATTAAATCCGGTTGATATTGCATAACTGTCTTAATTGGTCACTTTCAAATATGTTATTAGTGACCTAAGGGACTAAAATAAAATTTTTAAAAATTACAGGGACTAAAAATAATGGTTTTAAATTTGAGGGACCAAAAACAAATTTGTCTTAAATTTGAGGTACTAAAGACATATTTAAACCTATTTTTTTAATATATAGATCAAGTTTGCAAATTTTTAAAAAATTGAAGAACATTCGATACTTTATTTCATTAATTCAAAATGTATAAAATAATTTTACGATTATTTATCAATTTGAATTGATGAAATAAAATATCAAATAATTTTTAAATTTTTTAAATATTTGTAAAACTAATTCATGTATTAAGAACTTTAAATTCAATAATTGAATCGTTAAAATTTAATGTAAAACATGAATTATTAAATAAAATAACTCATTTATATATATATATATAAATAAAGAATTTTGGATATAATTAAAAAATAATTAATTATGTTTACAATAAAAAATAAAAAAACCTAACTAATAAATAAAAATACTGGTTAATTAGTTATATATTTTCGGTTCATGCTACTTTTTTGGTACATAATTATTCAAAAGAGAAAAGATTAATTAATTATAGATTTATAGTACCGTAATAATAAAGTGAAAAAAAAAAAAGGAAAAGGGTTAAAGAGAGAGATGGGGGGCAAAAGGAGAAAGAGAAAAGGAAAAGTCAAAAACGGTAAAGGTGTGTGGAGACCGCGTTGTAATGACATTGATGCCACCGAAGATCCTTCGTATTTAAACAACGCTAACGACACTTTCTCGTAACCATCCGTCTACATTCAACACACTCTCTCTCTCTCTCTCTCTCTCCGAATTCGATCGAAAGATAGAAGAAAGAGCGATTTTCCTCACCGAAGAAGGAGAAACCAATGGCCGATCAACTCACCGATGAACAGATCTCCGAGTTCAAGGAAGCCTTCAGCTTGTTCGACAAGGACGGCGATGGTTTGTCCCCTCTCTCTCTCTCTCTCGTGCTTTGATTTGATTTGATTTCGTCACTAGTGAGGTTTTCGTAGATCGGTTCTTCTTTTGGAGATAATGGATTAGGGAAACGAAAATTAGATGGGTTATGAGTTTTTTTGTTTTTGGCTGATTTGGGACTGTGGTAGAGTTAGATCTTGGATGTTGTTTTTGTTGTTTAAACTTTGTGGCGGAGAAAAAATGTTAACGTTATTTTATTTTAATTTTCTGGTGATTTTTTTTATTGTCTCTGTTTGGTTGACGAGGAGAAAGAAAGGAATGGATTACACTATTGAAGGAATTGTTGTTTGTTTCGATTTTTTTTTTTTTTTGTGTTTTTTTGCATATGTGAATTGTATATTATTGTTTTTCTTAAAATTAAATATTTCTTTCTGAAAAAGGGAGTTTAGAAGGTTCTAGATCTTGGTGTTTGGTGTGTTGTTGTGGTATGGTTGTTTTGGTTTACGAATTTTTGGGGGGAAAATGAACAAATAGTTGGTGGGTTGGTCGTTATTCGAAGTTTCTATGCAAAGGATCAAGATTGGGATGCTAACCTTTAACTGATATATCCAAAGCATGATACTTATTGTCTGTGGCTTTTTAGCTTGCTTATATGTCCCAATGTTGAGAAACACAACAGGTTTGGTAGAAAAGGGCTTTTTATGAAATAGATTTTCTTTATGTTTTTACTCAGAAATTAAAGTACGTTTTTTGTATTTAATGTTTTAGTGCTCATGTTAAAAGCACTAAAATACTATTATGTTTAATTTATATACACCTGACTCGTATGTATGTATGTTTGATTTAGGAAGGAATTGTGAAGGAAAGGAAGTGAAAGCAAATAAAGAGAGGAAATAAAATGAAATGATTTTTAAGGTTTTGTAAGGGGAAAAAGTGAGGGGAAAGGGAATGACGTAAATGTCCTAGATAAGCAAAGAGATATGATATAATCATATAAATAAGCATATTTATGTCCTTATACATGTACCTAATTTCCGTCCACCCTTTTATAACCTTGGGAGTGTAGCCTTTTTTTTATATGGAACCCTGTGGTTTGTTCCCTTCATTCATCCTTTTAGGATTCTCCAAAGGACTAAATGTTGATGTGTTGTTCCTTCCACCCACAAACATTCTGATTACACCGTATTGTCACATCCTATGCTATAATTGACAAGGATAGAGTAAACTAGGCAATTCTTTTTAGATATTTGTGAAAAAATGTTATACAGTCAATAGTGTTTTTTTTTTTGGGAGGTTTTTTGTAATTCATAAATTTTTTAAACATATATTTTAATTTTAATTATAATAGTAAATTTTTTCAAAAGCACAAACAAATGGTTGTGAACCCTGAAGTTGATGAATGTGAAAAATTGATTATACACTAGCCTGGGAACACGTTTGGTTACGACCTAAAAGAGCTTCTTCTGTTTTTAAAATAATGAGCATTTTTCTAGTAGAGAACCTATCAAAAGATTTTTTAAGCTTGTATTTAAACAAACTCTATGTGACTTATATTTTTTTGCTTACAAGATGGGCTTAAAGGCCAAAGTGAAAGCTACCTATTAAGTAAGACTGCCGAAGAGTCAGGTGGAGATGCTGTAGAGAGTGAAGTATATACTAGGTAGAGAGTGAAGTATATACTAGGTAGAGAGTTGCCAACTACGGACTCGGCAAATTAACCATATGTGTTAACAATAATTAGGCTTTGAAAATTTGAAGCTGTTGTTGATTATATTGTATATGGTGTGGACTTTCAGGTTGCATCACAACCAAGGAGCTTGGAACTGTTATGCGCTCATTGGGGCAAAACCCAACTGAGGCAGAGCTCCAGGACATGATTAATGAAGTGGATGCAGACGGGAATGGCACCATCGATTTCCCTGAGTTTCTAAACCTCATGGCCCGGAAGATGAAGGACACTGATTCTGAGGAAGAGCTGAAAGAGGCATTCCGGGTTTTCGACAAGGACCAGAATGGGTTCATCTCTGCTGCTGAACTCCGCCATGTGATGACCAACCTTGGGGAGAAGCTCACTGATGAAGAGGTTGATGAAATGATTCGTGAGGCTGATGTTGATGGCGATGGCCAAATAAACTATGAGGAGTTCGTTAAGGTGATGATGGCCAAGTGATCACATTATCTTCACATAAATGAAGAAATGTTGATTAAAAGGAAATGAACAAAAAAAAAAGGTGGGGGAAAGGACTAGGTTTGGGTTGTATAACAGTGATCATAGTAGTCCTTGTCCTTTCTTCCTCCTGCATTTTTATTTGATGGTTTTTGAATCCAACCTTAAAACGTCGATTAGTGGAAGTCCTGCTACTAATGGATTGTAGTGGAACTGTACCTTCTTAGTTTGTCTTGTAATTTTATCCATAAAAAGGTTGTAATGTTAATGTCGCCTCAATTTCTACCACGCTTCATTTTTTTTTTGTTAAAAGTTAATGAATCTTGTTTGATATTCAGCTAGTAGTACTTGAAATGTCTGTGTGATATGGGAATGAGTAGCACTAATTATTTCTGTCTATTTGTGAACTTATCTTTCTCTTGAATGAATTTGTAAGATGTTTCATTAAAATTGATTGTTGTTTCAACTCATTGATGGTGTTTGAATACAAGTTTTTTTTTGAAATAAATTAAAATTTGTTAGTACAAGTAGTTTAATATTGGAGTTTGATTTTTTTAAAATATATAGTAGTAATTAAAAGTATTATTTTATTTTTATAAAAATTAATTTGATGTAAAGGAATTATATTTCTTTATTAAAATAAAAAATGAGGAGATTACCTTATTGATGATGATTTAGTGAATCTCTTGACTTGGTGAGGAAGGAAATTTTGGAGTGAAGTACCCTTTTAATCTATGAAAATGTTTGATATAAGTCTAAAAGGGTTTTTAAATTAAAAAGTTTTTTTTTCTTCTATTTTTCTAGAAATTACTCGAGTAAAGTTTTGAAAAGTTCTTTTATGTTGCGTCTTGGTTTTCCATGCAATGAATTTTCATTTGGTATAATTAGGGATGACAAATAAACTCATACCCGTGAGTAATACCTGAATTCGTCCTGACTTTGATAGGGAATGTCCGGTTTGACCGGGTACGGGTACGGATAAAACCTGATATATTAAACCGAGTATGAATATATACATATCCACCCTGTACTCCTATCCGTATTCGTCCCCAAATGAATTATGATATTTTTTTTTTAATATTTTATTATGTATAATTATTTATTATAATGTGAAACATTTATAGTTGTTTAATTATTAATAAATCTTTTGATTAAAATATGAGATAGAGAAATAATTTAATTACAATTATAATATAATAAAAAAAATAATTTAAAAATATTGTGTATTTTCTTTATAAAAAAATAATAATAATTTTTTACGGGTACGGGTATACCCGATACCCGATGGGAAAGGGAATGAGGATGAAAATTATATACCCGACGGGTACGAGTACGGGGACAAGGATGAGTTTGAGTCGCGAAAACGGGGATGCGTATCATGAAACTCGTACTCGACCCGCCTCGTTGCCATTCCTAGGTGCGACAAATTAGAGTTAATCACCTATACACTGCCAGTGTAAAGTTTTTTTTACACTGACAACCAATTATATCTTTTAATTATGTCATGTTATTGTTAAAAATAAATCTGTTTCCAGTGACATGACACAATTAAAAGATATAATTAGTTGTCAGTGTAATTTTACACTGACAGTGTCTCTTATTTAAATGTTTGCACTAGCAAACAAACATCTTTCAATGTTTTTCCCCTTAACAACCCATACTTCCACTAACAGTAACTTATCGTCAAAAACAATCTTCTTCGCTCTTTCTATACTCGAATAGGAAATTGGACTTCAAAAAGAAATTGCTAGAGAGAAAACAAAAGAAACAAATGATAAAAGTACAAACATTATTATAAAGTAACTAATACAATTTTTGTCTATGTGTAAAAGTAACCGAAAGCACAAACCCAACCTTACCTTTTGATGTTGGGGGTTTTGATTAATCACACACATAACCCACTTCTAGGTCCAAATCTTTGTTCTTCTCATCATGAACTCCATATGTTATGGCACAAACAAATGCAAAATGTCGTTGTAAGCAACAAGTTGTATCAAGCAATTGACTTATGTAAGAAGCAACATGTCTTGATAAAAGATTCACCATTTTTGAAATGAAATGGTCGGTATAAGGCTACCTAGAATTACAAAGAAAAACAAGGAAATTTCTAGTATAAATTATCTTGGAAGTTGCAAAACAAAGTGAAACTAAAAATCTCAATGCCCAGAACTCTATGCCATTCCGGTAAATGTAAAAGATAAATTACCCATAATAGCTTTCAGGAAAACTATTGCATTTTCTTTCGGTTTGATAAAAACTTTGTTCTTGTCACTTCAAAATTTTGAAGTCTTAATTAAGAAAAGCAGCAATGACAAAGAATAGGATTTGAGTAAAATAATAGTAGTCGACTCTACTCATTAAAAAAGATACATGAATCTAGTCGTACATGATGCGGGGAGATAACTTTAATCTTTCATTCATGAAAGCATTCGTTGTGTACTTAATATATTTTACCAAAACTCATTTTTTTTTTATCAATTACGAAATTATTGATCAAAGTTTTATAATTATGTATTTTTAACATATCATTATCAATATATAAAAAGGAAAATTCATTCCATCTATCATTTAACATTTTTTTTAAATTTATTTAACATTGCTTATATTAAATAAAAATTTAATATAAACATTATTTTAAGTTGAAATCTTGTTATCGTCAATTGTAATTTCAACTGATAAAAGAAATAATTTTAATTTTAAGAAAACAATGCTCACTACTAGAATTTCTTTTATTACATGCGACTTTTCCTGTGAATTCATAAAAATTCGTTCCTGCAAATTTTTCTGCGAAATTTTATCTACAGGTAATACCTTCATAGATAATATATTTTTGCGAATTTTAAAATTGGCAGGAAATTTTCCTGCGAAATTTCTTGCGAAAAAAATTCGCAAGAAACTTTCCTGCAAATTTTTCTTTTGCAGAAGTTTCCTACAAAAAAAATTTCGCAGGAAAGTTTCTTGCAAAAAAAATTTCGCTGGAAAGTTTTTTGCAAAAAAAATTTTGCAAGAAAATTCGCAGGAAAGTTTCCTACGAATTTTTTCGCAAGAAATTTTGCAGGAATATTTTTACGAAAAAAAATTAAAGAAATTACTATAAATTCTACCAATAATTTTTCAACTTTCAAATACTGACAATGAATTCATCCGAAGCATTTGTTTCCATGCCTCCAACATGTGATACATAATCTTTTAAATTCTAAGATTGTAGAATATAAGCTTAATACTCAACCATACAAATCAACTTGTAAGGTAAGTGTTGCCCCAACTTATAAACTCTTTAATCGCTTTATTTTCAATCGATGTGGGACTTGAAGTTTTTTTAAAATATTAAACTTATAAATTTAAATATTTTTTTTAATTTTTCTTGTAGATTAAAATTTGTAGAAAAATCCGCAGGAAAAGTTACCTGCAAAATTTTTCTACCAATTTAGTAAACATTACTTGCAAATTTATTTTTGCAAGAAAATCTGCAAGAAACAAAATAAAATTCTTACAATATTTTCTGCAAATTTTTACCATGGAAAAAATTTTTTATTATTAAAATTGTAGCAAAATTTGTAAGAAATATCTGTAAATTATTTTTCGCAAGAAAATTCGCAAAAAATTTCTGCAAATATTTTTTTACGGGAAAATTCATAAGAAAATGACACTTTTCTAGTAGTGGCTTAAAAGACAATAATTAAAAAGTGTTAAAAAAATATTGTCAATAATATTTTAGGAGTAATGATTTTTTTAATCATATACGAATTTTTAATATAATTTAATACTTTTAGTATAAATTATTTTTATCATTTAATTTATATATAAGGTCGGTGCAAAAGGTTTTACTCTTTTACACAAAAGTCAAATAAAACTTGATTATTTTATCACATCTTGTTCATTAACATGATGTTGCAATATGGTGAATTTATTGAATATACGTGTAAAAGTATTTTGCACTAACAATACATATAAATTAAACTTTAATTTTTATTTTAATTCTTACAATATCATTTTTTATAAATAAATTAAAATTTTTACTATTATAATAATTGTTATAACTTATCTTTTCAATATTATTATTAATAAATTTTGATTTTACATATTGTAATGATTTGGTATGTCATTATACTTAATATAACACATTTACTACACAACAAAAAATTATAAAATCATTTACTACTCTAGAGTTCTCATGCAACAATCACTTAGATATTCATGTAATATATATACGTATAGGGTGCAAAAATATAAAATAGTTCCTGCCAATATAACTGAAAACAAAAAGCCCCTTAAGAGGTTACATATAATCCATGTACATATATACTATATACATCAATATACACTACTGTAACAAAGTAACCGTATCGTCGGTCAAGCACCTCTATACAACGATCATTATATCAAATGGTATATGCAAAACTAGTCATCTCCAACATGACCATCCATGTACATATATACAATATACATCAATATACACTACTGTAACAAAGTAACCCTATCGTCGGTCAAGCGCCTCTATACAACAATTACTGAATCAAAATGGTATATGCGAAACTAGTCATCTCCAACATGACCATCCACCAATGAGCTAATCCTCTTCTCTCATATCAAGTATGATCATTGCAATCCAACTATAAGGAAAATAAAAGGTAAGCTTGTGAAATCAATCATCATAACAAGTATGGAATTCACAACTTAAACAACTTCAATAGTTAGCATAACATCAACTTAAAACACCCTCCATTGATTAATAGTAACAACTAGTAATTGTCAACTAATAGGCCAACAGATAAACAACTCACAATGCATGGTAACCAATTGATGAACAATTAATCAACTCCAAACATAACTAAAAAACTTAAACAATTGATGTGTCATCACACATTACAACTTATGGAGATCTCCTATAATAAAGGTGAGTAGTCCAAGTAGCTTGACTTACTGAACCACAATGGCTAGTGTAAAACCAAAAACACTGATTATTTATCAAACTAGAAACAATGACTGAGATGATGATCTAAATTGATTTATCAAGTTTTGCCACTTAAATTAGGAAAGTCTAGTGCTATTATCAGGGTACAACAACTTGGGTGTGAACCTACTACAATTTTAGCATGTATAACTAAGCCTTCTATGGAATTAGCCTGTCAACTACCCTCCAAATACTATACACCTTTCTAGTAATCAGTTAAGGATTTTAATCCTCGACTTCATATATGTATGGCTCGACCTGGCCCCCATACAGTTCCACATAAAACCTAAAAAAGAGAACTTAAAACATCATTCCATTTAGGAGCCACCCACTCACTAAAGGGGTCTCAAGTTTGGCTTCTTTGAGCACCACAACATATATCCAATCAAATGGATATCTTAATTTCTAAAACAACTTTGACCATCCTCTAGTTTTTATGTGTCTC